ATGTTAGGTTAGGTTAGGTTAGGTTAGGTTAGGTTAGGTTAGGTTAGGTTAGGTTAGGTTAGGTCTATTGTACTGTACGTCACACACACATAAAACTCTCCTGGCCCAGATCAAAGCGTCTCCCTGAAAAACGGTGTGGTAGCATTACAAGCCTCGCTGCCTACTGTAATGGAAAAATGTTCACGGTGAGATGCTCTTCATTGCTTAGGTAATCCTTCTACAGCAGCGCCAGAGGTGATAGAGGCCGAAGGAGGGGATGAAGGGCGGGAATACAATAGCCTGGAGGAGGGAGAGATGGAAGTGATCTTGTAACACAGAGAATCCGTTTTAGATTCACTTTGTTCGAGAATTCCCGAGCCCTTACCGGAAGCAACGCCAGCACGAGCAACTATGTGTCTGGCGCTATTATTCTACGTGCTTAGAATTACTTCAAGGCCTATGCTGTGATGTCGTGGAAGAAAGAAAAACTCTATATTTTGAGGCTTGAGTAGCGAGGTCACTGGTCGTTAGTGCCTGGGGGAAGGGTGCAGTGTTCAGGCTCTCGAGTAGAAAAATTACATTAAAATAATCAGCAACAATGACCAATCATTTCACCAGAGATATTCTATAAAATCTCCCCCAGGCACTGATATGACACACACACACACACACACACACACACACACACACACACACACACACACACACACACACACACCGGTTTACGAGGGAGGACCCGTACATTTTCTCTTGGTATTCCATCTAACAGAACCTCTTCATAAACTCATTCTCACCCCAGACTCTGAACCTCTCCCCCTCAGTCACCCCATCAAGACACAAGTTCCTGCTACATATACCTTCACCTCTGGCCAGGGGAACCAGGGGACGCCTCCAGGAGTATATTTTACAAACCCAAGTCTGATCTCGCCCTTCAGTCTTTAATTGTTAAGAAAGATAAACTACTCCTACAAAGTTGTGTACTCGATGGTAGTCTAACTCATGCTGACCTCAGGGTGTACTGTGTAGGTGAACGAGCGGAGGTGTGTGCTGGGTGATCGACTACTTCATAATGTTCGTCAGTTTTAATGGTGGTGGTGAATGTTCTAGTTCCCGTCAGTCAACCTGGTGACCGTCTCTTGTTGTGGTGGTCAGCAGTCATCCCAGGGACCGGTAGTCTTCTTGGTGATATATATTTGTAGGGGTCTACCGGTCGGTGAGTTATTGACATAAACAGTACACCGTCACCTCCTCCATCACCCAGGTCGTCTAGTGTCGTTAGAGAGTAGTCGACGTCAGCCGAGAGATGCCTTGTTGGTCACCCTACTGCTGACGGAGGTGTTAGTGGGGTAATGTACCGAGGTGGTGAGGAAGACCATCTCCCTCCCTCCCTCCCTCAACCCTACGTCACTTCACCAACGAGGCGAGGAGCGCCCTTGATGGGAAAATTATCTCAGGTCTGTGAGAGCAACACTGTGGTGAAGGACTCTACCCCCGCCACCGCCCAGCTACGACCTGCCCGTCCCATGTTCCTCGAGCTAAAAGAGGCGGCTGTCCACCGTCCAGGCCGTACAGTTGGCTATTTCAACGTTGTTTACTTAAGGGGAGAGCGAATATGTGTTCCAGCAAGGAGGAAAATGATCGGCTATTTGCATACATTTTCCACTTGTTTTTGTTACCCCCAACAAGAGGAGGAGAAGGTGGGTGTTACATTAACTCTCTCTGTGTTGCTGGGAACTGTTATAGGCAGTGACTATATTTATTCTGTTATTTTAAGTAGGGAGTGTTCTTCTGTAATGCAGGTGAGTAGGGGACAGAGGGTGTAAGGGACGGTAGGTTAGGGGGCCATGCAGGCTGGGGTGGGACGGGGGGGTAGGGGCGGGCAGACGGGGGATGTAAGGGACGAGGATGGGGAGGGTGGAGCCTTATATCGGGGATCATATCATTAGGATGGAGGACCTCGTATAATAATGATATGATGCCCGAGACCCCGATACAATGAACTCGACTCTTCTGTGGGGGAAACAATTTCATTTGTCTGTTGAGTTGGTTTTGGGGCGTCGTGAGGTGGGGGCGGTGGCGGTCCTTAATGATGCTGTCCGTGGTCCTTAATGATGCTGCCCACGGTCCTTAATGATGCTGTCCTTGGTCCTTAATAATGCTGTCCGTGGTCCTTAATAATGCTGTCCGTGGTCCTTAATGATGCTGTCCGTGGTCCTTAATGATGCTGCCCACGGTCCTTAATGATGCTGTCCATGGTCGCTAATAATGCTGCCCGTGGTCCTTAATGATGCTGTCCGTGGTCCTTAATGATGCTGCCCACGGTCCTTAATAATGCTGTCCTTGATCCTAATGATGCTGTCCGGTCCTTAATAATGCTGCCCGTGATCCTAATAATGCTGCCCGTGATCCCAATGATGCTGTCCTGGCTATCCTTAATAATGCCGCTGTCCGTGGTCCCAATGATGCCGCCCGTGATCCCAATGACGCTGTCCGGTGGTCCTCAATAATGCTGTCCGTGGTCCTGACGATGCTGCCCGTGGGCCTTAACAATGATGCTGCCCATGGTCGTTAATGATGCCGTCCGTGGTCCTGTCAGCCGCCTGTGATCCTTAATAATGCTGCCCGTGATCCTAATGATGCCAGTCCGTGGTCCTTAATAATGCTGTCCGTGGTCCCACGATGCTGCCCAAAATCTTAATGATGCTGCCCATGGTCGTTAATGGTGCTGTCCGTGGTCCCAATGATGCTGTCCGTGGTCCTAATGATGCCGCCCGTGGCCTTAATAATGCTGTCCGTATCCCAATGATGCTGTCCGTGGTCCTTAATGATGCTGCCCGTGGGCCTTAATGATGCTGTCCGTGGTCCTTAATAATGCTGTCCTTGATCCTTAATGATGCTGTCCGTGGTCCTTAATAATGCTGCCCGTGATCCTTAATAATGCTGCCCGTGATCCTTAATGATGCTGTCCTTGGTCCTTAATAATGCTGTCCGTGGTCCTTAATGATGCTGTCCGTGGTCCTTAATGATGCTGTCCGTGGTCCTTAATGATGCTGTCCGTGATCCTTAATGATGCTGTCCGTGGTCCTTAATGATGCTGTCCTTGGTCCTTAATAATGCTGTCCTTGGTCCTTAATAATGCTGCCCGTGATCCTTAATGATGCTGCCCGTGATCCTTAATGATGCTATCCTTGGTCCTTAATAATGCTGTCCGTGGTCCTTAATGATGCTGCCCACGGTCCTTAATGATGCTGTCCTTGGTCCTTAATAATGCTATCCTTGGTCCTTAATAATGCTGTCCTTGATCCTTAATGATGCTGTCCTTGGTCCTTAATAATGCTATCCTTGGTCCTTAATAATGCTGTCCGTGGTCCTTAATGATGCTGCCCACGGTCCTTAATGATGCTGTCCTTGGTCCTTAATAATGCTGTCCTTGATCCTTAATGATGCTGTCCGTGGTCCTTAATGATGCTGCCCACGGTCCTTAATGATGCTGTCCTTGGTCCTTAATAATGCTGCCCACGGTCCTTAATAATGCTGTCCGTGGTCCTTAATGATGCTGCCCGCCTCTACCTCTATCAGCTCACCCGTCCATCCGTCTACCTACACACCTGCCTTACACCTGCCGTACACACCAAACAGTACTACACTCCACAGGTGTTCTCGTTAACTACCAACACCTGAATTACATATTTATTTACATTTATTGTCTTGTTTTAAATAATTCTTGTCAATATACCAGGAACCTCAACCACCTACCACATGTCCCTGGTCCAAAATCTCAGCAGCTACCAACTTACACCTCCTTCACCCACCTGTGCTGTGACTTCTACAGGAACTCCCCACACGTCTCTTGTGACTCTCCTGGAAACGTGTTGGCCAATTCGTCAGAAAACTCGCCGTCAGGGTCTTGTGTACAGCAGCAGGTGGTAGCGTGTGTCAGGGTATCCGTATGATGACAATGTTTACTTGGGATTTACTGTTACTAGAAGATAATAAATGTTACCCAGGGTTGAGTGATGGGAGATTATATTAATGTTAGATAAAGTTAATCAATCCTGTTAAAGTCACTATACAGGTGGGAGTAACGAGTGAATGGCCCTGGAGGTGTGTGGTGACCCATCAGAGGCCAGGCAGATGAACACACTCTAAATTAAACTTTTGTTTTTCGATACAGTAGGAAATAGTGTTGGTGGCACTGTACTCAATCACCATCATTACCACCATCATTTTCCTCCCCATCTGTAATGTTAGGTGTCCATTTACAGCTGGGTCAACTCGGGGGTACCCTAGACCTGAATCACTGACACTTAGGACAGGAGGTAAGGACAGCCCGTGTCCATGTACAGAGGAAGAGATAAACTGCGAGGTGTGGTTGTGAGATGTGTCCTAAGACGTGTGTCCTAAGACGTGTGTCCTAAGACGTGTGTCCTAAGATGTGTGTCCTAAGATGTGTGTCCTAAGATGTGTGTCCTACTGGGGTCAAAATTAATCACTTCACCTGTAGATTTAAACAAGTAGTCCGGGGAACACAAGAAGAAACTACAGGTGAGACGGAGGTACACACGGACGTACAGATGCCATCACTATATACAGTCATACTCACAGACAACAGTCATACACAGTGAGACATAACTACAACTTCTTTAGGAAAGGATTCATAAGGGCGCCAGTGAAGTGCGTGAGGGAGTCAGTGTGTGTGAGGGAGGTGTATGTCTTATGGCTGTAAAGGACTTAATGACACGAGACATAAACATTCCGCGTTACTGTATGTCGTTAATAGCGTCACAGTTTGAGCCTCTCAGCTATATACCGTTGGAGGACGTTAGGTTGTGTGCGGGAAGACTGTCAAGCAACCCGGTGAGTCACGAGTCAATGATTAAGTTAACGTGTTTTTATTTGTGTTTCTTATCAAGGTTCAGGCAACATTCAGGCAACACTTCCATCTTATAAGAATTTTGCTCTATACTGGAGGCTTAAATCTGTGTTTGTAGTTGTGTCTCAGAATAACGTATGTGTTACAGACGCGGCGCCGCAGCTGGTGGACACTAGCGGGCCCCAGGTGGTGTCCCCTGGGGCCCGGGTGACTCTGGTGTGTAAGGTGCAGGGGTCACCGCCCCCAGCTCTCTCCTGGACCATGAGGGGACGACCAGCCATCACCGCGGACCCCAGGATCTCCCGACCAGGGCAGGTGCGTCACATCACTGTACTGGGGGAGGGGGGGGTACAGCTGATGTATGACGTGTGTGTGTGTGTGTGCTGACCACACTGGTCAAGGAGTGCTGCCCCATGAGGAGGTCCCCCTTCCTCGCACCTCACTTTAAGGAAGGATGATCGCTTTGTTGAACCAAAATGCAGGGAAGCGCAAGAGACTTCCTCCCTGAAGGGGGGACATCCTCCTGCAGCAGGAAAGAACAATGAGTGTCTAGCCAGGAGAACAAGACATCAAAGTCCAGATTAACCCCACCGGGAGGGAGGAGGGAGGAGGGAGGAGGGGGGCGTGGTGACGTGTAAGGACAGGTGGACAAGGGGAGCCTCGGGTAGTGTGTGTTGACTTCACTCCCCAGATAAGTGTGTTACTTACAGTACTGAAGGTGTATAAGAGAGAGGTGGTTCACACAGGACCGTGTTACCTGTGTGTTAGTGTTGGTAAGTGAGGACTGTAACCTCTCAGTGTGGACTACTGCTGACCCGGAGTGTTCCTCAGGTGGACGGGGACCAGGTAGAGAGTCACCTCAACATCACCAGCGTGAGGGTGGAAGACGGCGGCCAGTGGACGTGTCTGGCAGAGAACCGCGCGGGACATGTAGAGCACACGGGGCGCCTCAACGTGCGGGGCCCCCCAACCATCCGTCCCATGAGCCCCGTGAGCGTGGTGGCCGGCAGGACAGCCAAGTTCCACTGTGTGGTGGCCGGCTTCCCTATAGACTCCATCTATTGGGAGAAGAGCGGTAGGTGCTGCCTCAGTCACTCGGGTTATCCGCCAAGTTCACTCGTCAACCTGATGATTATGTCCCAGTGTTGACTTACTGAGTGCTGGAGGAGCGGCGGAGGTTGTCATCTGATATATTGAACAATTTAAGGTCATGTTTCCATAAGTTGAGGTACAGTGTAAACCAGTGTCCTCCTTCCCTCCCTACATGTATACATTACTTGATTCTAATCTCAACTTGTCTTCCTCCCTACCTCTCCCTCCATCTCCCTTCCCCTCCCTCCCTCTCCCTTCCCCTCCCTCCCTCTCCCTCCCTCACAGGAGTGGTGTTGCCAGTGTCAGAGCGACAGGAGGTGCTGGCCAACGGGACGCTGGTAGTACGGCAGGTGTCTCGTGAGGCAGACGGCGGCCAGTACACCTGTGTCGCCTCGGCCGGAGAGAACACCGCCAGGGCCAAGCTGCAGGTCAACGTCATGGGTCAGTCTCCCCCTGCTGTTGGTGGGGAGAAAGACACACCTGGGCTGGGGAGAAAGACACACCTGGGCTGGGGAGAAAGACACACCTGGGCTGGGGAGAAAGACACACCTGGGCTGGGGAGAAAGACACACCTGGGCTGGGGAGAAAGAACCAATTACAGATGTTGTGGGTGAATTAAAGAGAAGTCGGGACGATGTGAATCTATTAATGGGTGATATATGGTGTGGGAGTATGTACGTGATGGTGTATGTACGTAATGGTGTGTGTACGTGATGGAATGTGTACGTGATGGAGTGTGTACGTGATGGTGTATGTACGTGATGGTGTATGTACGTGATGGTGTATGTACGTGATGGAGTGTGTACGTGATGGAGTGTGTACGTGATGGTGTATGTACGTAATGGTGTGTGTACGTGATGGAGTGTGTACGTGATGGAGATGGATGTGTACGTGATGGAGTGCGTGATGGAGTGTGTGTGTGATGGAGGTGATGGTGTATGTACGTGATGGAGTGTGTACGTGATGGAGTGTGTACGTGATGGTGTATGTACGTGATGGAGTGTGTACGTGATTGAGTGTGTACGTGATGGAGTGGAGCCATGTACCCTGACCCTCCCCCTGACCCTCCCTACAGTGCCGCCTCAGATAGACAAGAGAATGATCTCCCTCGGCTCTGGGTTCCCCGCCAAGTCCCGTGCCCGGATCATGTGTGTGGTGGAGCGCGGTGACCTGCCTCTATCCTTCGCCTGGACCCACGACGGCCGACCACTCTCCCCAGGACCTACTATCTCCGTCAGGTAGGTCTTCTCCCTCCTCCTATCTCCGTTAACCAGGTCCTCTCCCTCACTGCCTCCAGGATTCATCACCGTCAGGTAGGTCTTGCTACTTCCTACGTTGTCCCGGTGTTTACTTGTCTACGGTAGATATGTCGTGCCGTTTATCTACTCCCTCAGAGGTTGTCCCCAGACTAAACAAATAAAGAATAATCACTCATACACTACAGAGGAACACCATTGCAGTATCTAGGTGTGCAGGTTAAATCATCTAACAGGTGTAACATATATGGAGTTAAAATGTACTAACACCTGATTTGATAAAGATATTGGAAGTATTGATCAGGAAACTCATTTATATTCAGTAACGAACACAACTAAGACACTGTGAGCAGCTCCACCTTACTGAGGAGGAACATCGCCAGTGGGATGTGTCTCTACTCAAGCTGGTGGTGGAGAGACACTGGAACACCTACAGACTTGACCGAGTGTTCTGGTGCATTAATCTTCCCTTTGGTAAACTCAAGAACGAGCTTAAAACATTTTCTTATTATTTTTTCTCCTCACAATATTTTATACCATCAGTTGGGACTATTAATGTGTACAGGTTTGACCAGACGCGACATTTGGGTCCTAACGGGTAATCAGTTGGTTGTATTTGGTGCAGGTCGCTGGATGAGTACACGAGCGTCTTACTGTTTACCTCACTGCGTCAGGAGGATGGCGGCAAGTATACCTGTACGGCCACCAACGCCGTCGCCTCGGATGCCCAGACCGTCCACCTGGTTGTGAAAGGTTGGTCTTGGTCTCTTATGTACTGTACACGGCCGGGTGACACACACACACACACACACACACACACACACACACACGGATATACAGCTGAATGGATTAGTTAAGTGACCGTGAGTTAAGAGAGAGTTGTGATGTGTTACAGTGGCGCCATCATGGAAGGTGGAGCCTGAGGACGTGTCGGTGGTGGTGGGGGCTGAGCTGGTCCTACCCTGCACCGCCCACGGGTCACCCACGCCCACCATCACCTGGCGCAGGGCTGAGGGCGCTGTACCCAGGCAGTATCGTCCCGTCACCACCCTCGGCGACAACGTCAGGTACAGATGTTCTCTTTCTTCCTCGTTAACACCAGCCAGTAGGAGCCTAAGACAATAACATAATAAGAACTTTGTTTTAACACCATATGTTGTTGTTCACCATCTTGTATAACAGTGAGGTTGTTATAACACAGAACAGTTGTGGCCAGCAGCTACATGACCTACCCCTAATACTGTACCTGTATGACAGTGTATAACTTATATGTGTGTGTGTATATATGTAGTCTGAGTCAATGCGAGAGTGTATCTTTACAGGTCCATTTTTATTTAATGTTATAAGTGCGTGCGTGCGTGGGTGCTTGATGACAGCAGAGTCAGTCAGTGTCACGTGCGTCATATCTGTCACACCGCAAACAACCCGAGTCATGTGTTACAGAGTGGAGAGGAACAGCAGCCTGACGGTGCGGGGGATCAGGAGGGACCAGGGCGGAGAGTTCCTCTGCAGCGCCACCAACGGGGTCGGCTCTGACCTGTCCAAGTCCGTCACCGTCACCGTCAAGGGTAAACACGACCTTCCTTCTTTACGTCTGTTGTCAATAATCTCTTGATGGCGAGACATACAGACATACAGGCATACAGGCATACAGACATACAGACATACAGGCATACAGACATACAGGCATACAGGCATACAGGCATACAGACATACTTACCCCAGTCATATGTTATTTTACGAGGCTCAAACACACAACTACTGGTCTTGGTTGGAGCTTTGATGATATAACCCTTTTGGGACGCTGGTTTAACCCTTTGAGGACTATGGTTTAACCCTTTCAGGATGATGGTTTAACCCTCCAGTACTTAAAACATATTTACATCATGTTCTTGTACAGGTTAAGTTATCGTTGTTTGCTTTACTATTACCAGTTCACGTTTTCCTTCGTTTCTCTCCACCTGTCTTAACCAGAGCACCTCCCTCTCTACCCTCAGTGCCGCCACAGTTCTCGGAGCAGCAGGAGAACGTGACTGTGACGGCAGGACGACGCAGCCAGCTGGTGTGTGAGGCCCGTGGTGACCTCCCCATCACCACCATCTGGTCCTCTGGCGACCCTCCTGCCAGGGTAGGTCCTCGATCTCTGAACACGGCGGCGGTGACCTGTAGAATATATATTGGAGTTTTAACACCTTTGACGACGATGTTTTAACCCTTTGACGACGATGATTTAACCCTTTGACGACGACGATTTAACCCTTTGACGACGATGATTTAACCTTTTGACGACGATAATTTAACCCTTTGACGACGATGAATTAATTCTATAACAGGTGTAATTCTATGGAGTTTTCATATCTCTTTTAAACATCAGCAGTGAATGATGCTTAGAAATAAACAAACACGTACAGATGTTTACACAGCCACGTAGCTGAAAATGTACCACACACACACACACACACACACACACACACACACACACACACACACTTTTAAATCTATTCACACATAAAAATCACCTACGTTAGTCTTTGATAATCTGAATGAAAAGTGAAAAAAAAAAAAATTAAAATGGGTGATTTTTTTGTAACCTTTATGATTAAATACAGTGTAGAGTAAAAATCCCAGAGGATTATCTTCAGCGATTTAAACTAAGGAATAAAAAATCCAAACCTGTTTTTTTTTTAATTCGGTTTAATGCTTATGGATTATAGTCAAGAAATATAGTGTATACAGTATATTTCTCTTGTATATTGTGTATGATTATATTCAACAGATTGCAAATGATGTGAGTAGTGGAGGACTGAGTATCAAGGAGACGGTGTTAAATGCTTCTACTTCATCGTCATCGTCATCGTCAGGCAGCGAGTCATCCCGAGGTACTGGCGGCGTCCAAGGGTTCAGATCTGTACTGACGGTGACCACCAGGACCCGCCATGACTCTAAGGTCTTTTTCTGCCTCGCCTCCAACGTCTACGGCAACGACACCAAGAAGATCAACCTTATAGTGCAGGGTGAGTGAGTGTGTGTGTGTGTGTGTGTGTATAGTGTGTGTGTGTGTGTGTTTGTGTGTGTGTGTGTGACGTCTGTTGTACTATAGTCATTGATAATATAGTGATATAGTGTAGTGACGTATATATATTGACAGAGGCGGATAGACAGTATAGTTGTTTTGTCCTGACAGAGGTGCCAGGTACCCCAGGGGCGCCGCGAGTAGTGGACAGTGGGTCTCGTACCGTCAACCTCACCTGGGGCTTACCTACCCACGACGGCAACTCTCGTATTTCCATCTACAGGATCCTCGTTATCAACAGTACAGGTGAGTCAAACAGTACAGGTGAGTCATACAGTACAGGTGAGTCAAACAGTACAGGTGAGTCATACAGTACAGGTGAGTCATACAGTACAGGTGAGTCATACATACAGGTGAGTCATACAGTACAGGTGAGTCATACAGTACAGGTGAGTCATCCAGGTGTACAGTATGTAATGGCGGCTATGATATGATTCATCTTCTTTATCTCTGTCAGTATAAATATTCAATAATTTAAAGGTAAAATTTTATTATATTAATCGTTATTTAATATCATGACAAGTTTCCCAACGTTTGTATATTTTTTTTTAAATATTGAAGAAAATTTGATGTGAGAATCTTGTAGCAGCTGTGTTTATAGTTGAGATGTTAATTCAATAATAACAAATTTTTCATCATTTCAACAAATATATAAACATTTGAAAACTTGTAATGATCTTAAATAATAATGAACAGTTTATTATTATCAAAATGTTACCTTTGGTGGTGTTCACTATTTATCCTGACAGTGATACCGCAGAAAAACAGATCCACCAATCACTATCACCTTCACATACAGCCTTACTACATCAAGTATTGCCAGATATAATTATGAGTACGAGAGGCAGGATGGGGGTCAGTGTATCTTTGGTTAACTGTACATCATCAACAGTACAGGTATAAATTAAGAGAACCTGACCTGTAATTACACATAACACGAAGCTCCCATGTAAACTATGCGTCATGGAGGTCAATGTAAGCACTGTGTTGGGTAAGGGCTCATTTATGTTGGACCAGCAGTGATGATACTCAAACACTGCACTGCGGCCTCTAACACCACACACACACACACACACACACACACACACACACACACACACACTGGCTGGAGTTAAAAGCTTCCTGTGTCACCATGATCAACGACTTGCCACCCTTGTTTCCTCTTCCTCTGCTACTCCGCGTATTGTTAGTCTCTGGAGGGATTTATTTTTTTTAGGGGGAGAGGCAACCCCCCCCCCCACGCCCTCCTCCTTATGTGTTTTATGTAGGGGCACTGTGATGGGGGTTGGGTTAGGTTGGGCTGGGTTGGGTTGGGCTGGGTTGGGTTGGGTTTGGTTAAGTTAGAAATTGACTTTATGATGGACAGTTGAAGCCTGAGTGTCGAGGCAGCTCAGTACATAACAACAAAGTGTTACATAAACAAACATTTATTAATATTATGAACAGACTCGTGGATGAACGTGGGCAGAATCAAGACGGTAGAAGTGGCGACCCCTGTGGCCCATATCTCTGGCTTAGCCCCCGCCCATGCCTACCTGGTAAGAGTGGTGGGCGTCAACTCCGTGGGTACGTCTCAACCCAGCCCGGAGGTGAGGGTGACCACCGCCCACGAGCCGCCCACCCTGCCACCCACCAACGTGAGGGTCATACCCATCTCCTCCACGAGTCTCCGAGTCACCTGGCAGGTAAACACAGCCGCCATACTCATTATAACCTACCATTAATATATTCTGTGATACCTTTATTTAACGGACTGCAAGTGAGGAGTTAGTCCGTTAGATCAAAGTCCGTTATATGTAAAACCTCCTTCTAACGGACTATATGACAGAGGGTTGTCCATTATGTACAAAACCTCTTTCTAACGGACTATATGTAAGAGGTTAGTCCGTGATATTGAAATCCGTTATTTGGAGGTTTTACTGTATTGACCTTACCCACTCCCTGTGCCCCCTAGCCCCCAGAGACCGTCATGTCACACCGCCCTGGTCTGGGTTACTACGTCGGGTACAAGGTGACCAACTCCTCCGAGCCTTACCGCTACCAGAACCTGGAGCCCTCCGCCGCCGCCCTCTACCGCCCGGAGGCGACGCTGAAGGACCTGCAGAAGTTTACCAGCTATGTCATCACCGTCCAGGCCTTCAACTCTGCCGGTGCCGGACCCCGGACCCCGCCTGTTACCGCTGCCACCGAGGAGGATGGTGAGGCGCAGTATGGTGAAGTTAGTCAGTATACATTGTCATGATCGGTATACATTATCATGGTCAGAATACACTATCAGGCTCAGTATACATTGTCATGATCAGTATACATTGTCATGATCAGTATACATTATCATGGTCAGTATACATTAAGGATTCATCATTAACAAAGAAGTTTCTGTAAGCCCCAGGACAGTGTGTGTGAGGCAGGAACTTAACATGGCGTCCTTGTACCAACAGTGCCCAGCGAGGCGCCCCGGGACGTCCTGTGTACCAGCTTGTCATCCACGTCCCTCCTGGTGAGGTGGACGCCGCCGCCCCCCACCGCTCTTCACGGCGTCCTGCAGGGCTACAAGGTCATCTACCGCCCTGTACACCCCGCCAGGTTCTTCCGTGAGTATGGTAGTCTCTCTCTCTCTCTCTCTCTCTCTCTCTCTCTCTCTCTCTGAAGTTCAAATTCCTCAAATTCTAAAATATTTTGAAGTTCAAGTTGTGAGTCTGTGAGAAAATATAAACACGAATAAGAAGGAACCTAACCTAACCTAACCCAGAATTCTTGTTTCATCTGTCTTCATTTACCCGTAGATCCAGACGACCTGAAGGAGAAACCAGTAACGAGTTTGTCCACGTCCTTGATGGGGTTAGACCAGTACACCAACTACAGCCTCACCGTCACCGCCCACACCAGGAGAGGTGACGGCGTGCGATCCAACCCCGTCTACTGCGTCACTGAGGAGGATGGTGAGTGTGTGTGTGTGTGAGTGAGTAAGTGTGTGTGTGTGTGTGTGTATGTGTGTGTGTGTGTGTGTGTGCGTGTGTGTGTGTGTGTGTGTGTGTGTGTGTGTGTGTGTGTGTGTGTGTGTGTGTGTGTGTGTGTGTGTGTGTGTGTGGAGTGAGTGAGTGAGGTGGTGAGTGGTGAGTGTGTAATAATAATAATAATAAACGGTTTATTAATAGAGTTGCAGCCGGTGGCTGAAAATATACAGACTTACATTTGATTTAGACATAATGATATAATATGCATTGAATACATTTACAGGGCTGTACAGTACATAAATCAGGAGTTGTTTATTATTTTAACAATAGATGGGATGGTGCTGTTCTTATATCTATCAGTGCGGGCTCTTATGGGCTGAATTTTGTTGTAGTGGCGGACTGCACGAGGTGGGTGGGGGGCTGCAGGTGGCAGGAGGTGGCGATGGCGAGGGTGGTGGCGAGGGTGGTGCAGTAGTCCACTGCCAAACCTTTCCAGTGCTTGGTGGTGGAGGTCACTGAGGGATGGCATTTCTAGGGTGGAGAGAGCGTTGGTGTAGCCGGAGTATTCTGCGCCGAGCATGATTCTGCAGGCCCTTTTCTGTACCTTCTCTAGCTGACGTTGTTGGGTGGAGTTGAGAGAAGACGACCAGGCTGGTGACGCATATGTAAGTTTGGGGAGAATAAAGGCGTTATAGATGGTCCTCAGTTCTGGCGTGGGTGTCCCAAGTGACCTAAGTCGTCGTAGCATGTAGAGACGGTACGAGGCTGCCTTGACTGTGTTATTTACATGGGCCTTCCAGTCAAGTGTGTGTGTGTGTGTGTGTGTGTGTGTGTGTGTGTGTGTGTGTGTGTGTGTGTGTGTGTGTGTGTGTGTGTCAGAAATATGGAAGATAAATTTTCTACTTAACATTAATGGTGTACTATGGTGTCATGGTAAACTATGGTGTCATGTTAAAATAATTCTCTATAGTTAAAAATAATTAAGGTAATGGTGTTTGTTGAACAGTCCCGGGACCTGTGGAGTCGGTGAAGGCGTTGGCAGTGGACAGTCAGAGTGTGTTGGTGGCGTGGCGGCCCCCCAAGGCTCCTAATGGTGTCATCACTAAGTACACTGTTCACCTGGACCAACCCGACCAACAGGTAAGTATCCACACCCTCCCTCTTCCGCCCCTCAGGTTAGGTTAGGTGAGGTTAGATTAGGTTAATAGAGCAGCAGCTGTAACTGACATAGAGACAACAGGTGTATCATAATATCTGTACTTCATTAACCTTACTGAAATAGAATATAGTAGATTTATCACTGTATCTGGACCCCCTCCCCCCTCAAAGCCTTATTGACATTTAGGTTAAACTTATCCAGGTGAGTGAATTAACACTCTTTTGACCCTGTGGTGAGGTGAGGCTGTGGTGGGAGGAGTGTGGTGAGGTGAGGCTGTGGTGGGAGGAGTGTGGTGTGGTGAGGCTGTGGTGGGAGGAGTGTGTACTGTAAGAGCGGCTGAATAATGGGAGAGTCTTCTGTGTGTTCTTTCATTTCAGTCACCTTGTGTGTGGAGGGGGAATCTAGGTGTGTCTGGGGGGTGTAGGTTTATATGGGGGAAGTAGGTGTGTGTCTGGGGGGTGGTGTGTGGAAGAATGTGGTGTGTGGGAAGTGTAGGTGTGTGTGTGGGGGTGTCATAATGTGTGTCACTGTGTTTTGGTCGACAGATTATACGTAAGTCAGTTGAAGGTCACCAGCTGAGGTCTATCGGTTGACGGTCCTTTGTGAGTTTCAGGTTGGGGCGGCGACGTCGTGGGCGGTGCCGGGGTCCCGCAGCTCACCGGGGTCGTCGTGGGAGGGTGGCGGAGGTGTGGGCAGCGAGAGTGGAGGCCGGTCGTGGGTGGTGTCGGGCTCTGAACGACAGTACCTGGTGGCTGGCCTCGCCCCCACCACCACCTTCGGGTTCACGGTGAGGGCGTCGACGCTGGTGGGTGAAGGACCTCCGGGTACCCGCGTCACCCAGCGTCCTCGATCTGATGCTCCCGCCGCCATCGCTTCATTCTCCGACAAGACGGTGAGTTGATGGTCCGTGGTCACAAAAATGGTCTACTCTATATTGTTTTACCCTCAGGATGATACCAAGTAGACGGACGAATAGACAGACAGACGATTAGACAGGCAGACGAGCAGCCAAACGAAAAAAAAAAAAACTAAAACGGACGAGTAGACAGATGAGCAGACAGACAGACAGACAGTCAGTAATCCCACATAAAATAAACTCCTTTTTGGCGTTTCAGCAGAAGTGAGCAATTAATAAGAGCTCACACACGACACAGAATAACAATAGACGTTGTAGGAGGTGAGGAAAACACAAAGGCTGATGATAACAAAGTATACCACAGAATGTAACGCATTAACAACCTTGCAGATCGCCGTGTGGGGAGAAGAGCTTCGCCTGGCGTGCAGAGTAGTAGGCAACCCCACACCCACACGCACCTGGACCTTTAAGTAAGTAACCCACAATACCCATGCCCCGTTTTCTCCCACTGTTTATAAATGTCACAATGGCTTCTTCCCCATGACCCATTACACCACCTAATACCCCCATGACACACCCCATGACACCCCATTATCACTGTGGTTGTCTGTGGTAGCGGGAAGCCTCTAGGTGGGAATGAACCTCGCGTTAAGGAGTACCCAGACGGCAGCGTGTTGGTGACTGACGTAAAAGCTCAAGACGCTGGCAACTATACCTGCACCACGACCAACCTCCATGGCTCTGACTCCATCACCTACGCCGTCACTGTCCAAGGTACTCCCCCTGCTTCTCTTACCGTCTCTTGTTTTTCTCCTGTTTCTCCTCCTCCTCCTCTTCGTCCTGTTGCTTTTCCTACTCCTTCTTCTCCTACTCCTCCTGCTTCTCCTCCTCCTCCTCATTCTCCTCCTCCTCCTCATTTCCTCTTCTTCCTTTACTATCTCTTTCCCTCTAAGCTCCTCCTCCTCTTAACTCCTCTTCTCTTCTCCTCTTGTTCGTTTTACTGTTTCTTTTCGTTAACTCTCATTTACTCCAACTCCATAACCATATTCCCTCTTCCCCCTCTTCCTCCTCCTCCTACCCCTCTTCCTCCTCCCCCCCCCTTCCTCCTCCTCCTACCCCCCCCCTCCTCCTCCCCCTCCTCCTCCCACCCTCCTCCTCCCTTCCCTCCTCCTCCTACCCCCTCCTCCTCCTCCTCTTCCTCTGCATACAGTGCATTGTGTTCAGTTATAAAAGAGTTAAGCCTGACTAAACATGATAAATTAATACCTTTCAGAGAGTGTGTGTGTGTGTGTGTGTGTGTGTGTGTGTGTGTGTGTGAAAGTGATTGAGTGAGTGAGTGAGTGAGTGAGTGTGTGAGTGAGTGAGTGAGTGAGTGAGTGTCATTAGCCTCATACTTAAAACATAAACAAGACCAAATGATTAGTTAATTCCGCATGATGATGATGATGATAATGAATAATGATGATAATGATTAATAATGGTCGTGAATAATGATGGTAACATAATGAGAATATTTTATTACAAGATAAAGTTATCCCTGTTAAGTTTTCTTTGAGCCTCCGTTTTCTATGATAATTGTTACCACTAGATGATTTGGCTTTGTCCTGCATTAAACTCCTGAGTCCTGGAGGAAAATTGAGTTAAAAATTAATAAAACGAATGAAAAACTAAGACATCACCTTCAGTACATAAAGCGTTCCATTAACTTTGTATGTATTTATTTTTCATTTGTAATTTTCATATTGTTTCGTGTTAATTTGTAGTTGTCTGTTTTAAAATAAGTAACGAGTGGATGGTGGTTAAGTACTGTAGGTAGTGATGATAATTTTTTTTCTCATCTTTGTAAAGTTTTCATCATTAAGTTTGTATAAAATTTTGTAAATAAAATCCCAAGGTATGTTATAAGCGTTCTCTAAAGATGCATTTTGATATAAAGCTTTCGTCTTGGTCGTTATCTCTGTAAAGCCACTAATTACCTGGATTCAGAATAGATCACGTGTGACAGCCTTAACACCTTACAGAGTATTTAATAGTATGATAACGTAAACTCTAAGATAAATTGTGATATTTACACAAACTTGGACTGATCTCATCCACGAAATAGTTTTAGCTAATGTAAATATCTTAAGTCATTGAAGGGCGTCGGTAAAGACTGTCAGACCTGAACTAGTCTATGTACGGAATGTCACTTGGCCATAATATCTGAGGTTGATTTTCCAGCCTGACCTGACATGAGCTTCGGTGACCCAGTGGTTATTGTGTCACATGATGCCTTTCTTTATTGCATGCAGCATCCAGGGACCAGGGAGGTAAGTGGTGCATCCTTGTGGCTGTCGACTGTGTGGTGTTCTCTTAAGGCCTGTTTACAAATCACTAGTTATGTGTTTTTACGGCTCCTCAGCCTCTATTACGTCACATTAGATACAATATTTACTGGATGTTTTTTCGAGATAAACTTTACTAGTTAGGTCTGGCCTCACTAAGATTATTTGGGATTTAAAAGTTGGAAATAGTCTTTTTACACTTTCAGACAAGTTTGACCAAAGAAAACGACCTGTTAATGAGTAAATACTCCGTAGTTGCCATGCACGGAAATTACTATGAAAAACATTTTGTGTGTGTGTATTTCATACGAATTTGACCTTCATTTCCGTCGGAAATGAGTACTTGTGGAGATATGCCTCCTCCACCCCCCCCCCCCTCCGACAATATTGGTTGCACAAAGTGGACAGAGCTTTGAAGTAGAGGGAAATTGTGGGGTAAAAACGCGAGGAAAAAAAATCCTGACGAAACCCTAACCTAACCAAAGAAACCAGAAGGACCTGACATACCCCCGGTATATAAATATAACCTAACCCCTTACCTAACCCAAACTTAAATTAATTAACATATAGGGGAAGGTCTTGACGATACAGACAGTCTGAACTACACCTTGGACACTTTACTGAATACACCATGAGACCTAAGGATGTCAACAGCTGCGGCTTCTTTCTCAAATACTCGCTGCATTACACGCCAGTCTCCCACCAAGCAACCTTCACAGACAGGCACCATCATACTCGAGAACTTCCGTATGCTCACTAGAATCACGTGGACATCCAAACTTCCTCTGATTGGCTGGACTTGGCGAACTTGTACTATGTTGCGTGAAAAAAAGTAAAAAAAAAAAAAATAGTGTCCCGACGTAAATGCTGTAGATAATTACTTTTTTTTTGCTCTATTTCCCTATATAAGAATTAATATAGAGTTCCAAGTATGAAAACTATGGAGAATTTACCTATTTTATTTTTTATTTTCGATAATGTCCCTTCGAAAATTATTCATATTTGTTTTTTGATCTTGAACTATTTAATGTAACCAACTTCAAACTGTGTTATGTTGTATGTTGATGCCAGACGACGCAGTTTGTTGTGTCATAACATCACACCACTGAGAGTTAGGATTACCACCTTCAGAAGTACAACAGTATGTTCGTTTGTCATAAGTAGGTTCATATCATAAGTTAGTTCATATGTTAAGTAGGTCCATATCATAAGTTAGTTCATATGTTAAATAGGTTCATATCATAATTAAATTCATATCTTAAGTGGGTTCATATCATAAGTAAGTTCAGTCATAAGTAACTAATTTTAATGGAAGTTCCTTTGTTGTAGTGAAGACAGTTCCACTTAAATGCTCAGGTTTTAATATTAACGCTTCCTCAGTGCCACCATTTGGCACTTGTTTACTATAGTGCCATGTTAACTCTCTCCCCCACAGTACCATAATAAACCTCCCCTACAGTGCCATAATAAGCCTCCTCCCACAGTGCCATAATAACCCTCCTCCCACAGTGCCATAATAAGCCTCCTCCTCCCACAGTGCCACCTCCTCCACAGTGCCACAATAACCCTCCTCCCACAGTGCCATACACCTTCCTCCCACAGTGCCACAATAACCCTCCTCCCACAGTGCCACAATAACCCTCCCCACAGTGCCACACAGTGCCATAATAAGCCTCCTCCCACACCATAACCCTCCTCCCACAGTGCCATAATAACCCTCCTCCCACAGTGCCATAATAAGCCTCCTCCCACAGTGCCATAATAACCCTCCCCCCACAGTGCCATAATAAGCCTCCTCCCACAGTGCCACCATCACCACCACTTGTGTACGTGTCTGATGTGACTGCCACGACCCTGACAGTGAGGTGGAGGACACCCAACGCTGGTGGTGCTCCCATCCTAGGTAAGGCACCTCTTCGTCAGGCAGGTCATGATTCTAAAAGCTCCACACGTCAACTTTCCTCATTGCTGGAGATATAAAGTTTACCTCTATCTGTCTGACTTAAACTAAAGCATAAAAATAACATCCAATATGGCTTCCAAATTTCACTAAGACTCTACATTTATTTGAGGTTTTTACTGATCATAATTAAAGTGTGAAAATCAAGTGAGTTTTTTATCTGGATTCAAATTCAGAGAAAATGAATCACTGTTATTTTTTCGTTCTCATAGTAACTGGTGATGTGAGAACGGCTCTACCTGACTCACTTTAACGTGGGAAGTATTGTAGAGCTAAAATATCTGGTAGTTGATAGTGACACTGTAACCAAGTAGTCTCATAGTAACACAAATGGTTAAGAATAGTATGTGTGTGTGTGTGTGTGTGTGTGTGTGTGTGTGTGTGTGTGTGTGTGTGTGTGTGTGTGTGTGTGTGTGTGTGCGTGTGTGTGTGTTTTGTTGTTGGGGTTGCCATAACATAATGAATACACTTAAGAGTCTTATCGTTAAGACTCATATAAGTCTTTTTAAAAATTCAGATAAGGAAGTTGACGGAAGAAATTCCTTATGATGAATTCTTTAGTAAAAAAATATAGAGGAGAATTAAGAGCTGACATTAAGGCTGGTGGGAGGATGCTATAGTGGGGAGTATGTTGTATGTGGGTATGTTGTATGTGGGTATGTTGTATGTGGGTATGTTGTATGTGGGTATGTTGTATGTGGGTATGTTGTATGTGGGTATGTTGTATGTAGGTATGTTGTGTGTGGGTATGTTGTATGTGGGTATGTTGTATGTGTATATGTTGTATGTGGGTATGTTGTATGTGGGTATATTGTATGTGGGTATGTTGTATGTGGGTATGTTGTATGTGGGTATTTGTATGTGGGTATGTTGTATGTGGGTATGTTGTATGTGGGTATGTTGTATGTGGGTATGTTGTATGTGGGGTATGTTGTATGTGGGTATGTTGTATGTGGGTATAGTTGTGTGTGTGTGTATGTTGTATGTGGGTATGTTGTATGTGTATGTGTATGTTGTATGTGGGTATGTTGTATGTGGGTATGTTGTATGTGGGTATGTTGTATGTGGGTATGTTGTATGTGGGTATGTTGTATGTGGGTATGTTGTATGTGGGTATGTTGTATATGGGTATGTTATGGTATATTGTATGTGGGTATGTTGTATGTGGGTATTTGTATGTGGGTATTTGTATGTGAAGTATGTTGTATGTGGCATTGTTGTATATTATGTGTATGGGTATGTTGTATGTATGTTGTGTGTGGATATGTTGTATGTGGGTATGTTGTGTGTGGGCATGTTGTATGTGGGTATGTTGTATGTGGGTATGTTGTGTATGGGTATATGTTGTATGTGGGTATGTTGTGTATGTGGGTATGTTGTATGTGGGTATGTTTAACATGTGTTGTGGGTATATTTGTGTATGTGGGTATATTTGTATGTGTATATATTTGTATGTGGGTATGTTGTATGTGGGTATGTTGTATGTGGGTGTATGTGGGTATGTTGTATGTGGGTATATTGTATGTGGGTATGTTGTATATGGGTATGTTGTATGTGGGTATGTTGTATGTGGGTATGTTAACATGTATGTATGTGTATGTTGTATATGTTGTATGTTATGTTGTATGTGGGTATGTTGTATATGTTGTATATGTATGATGTTGTATATGTTGTATGTTATGTATGTTGTATGTGGGTATGTTGTATGTGGGTATGTTGTATGTGGGTATGTTGTATGTGGGTATGTTGTATGTGGGTATGTTGTATGTGGGTATGTTGTATGTGGGTATGTTGTATGTGGGTATGTTGTGTGTGGGTATGTTGTATGTGGGTATGTTGTGTGTGGGTATGTTGTATGTGGGTATGTTGTATGTGTATATGTTGTATGTGGGTATCTCGTAAGCAGTTTGGACTAGTTTAGTCTGTAACCAGTATAGCAACCAGAGTATTATACACTATGGATGAATAAGTTTTCATTATGCATTTTTTATTGACCCACAGGAGTCGGATGCTTTCATAACAAGCATGTAGTAAGCATTCATTTAGCCTGCTCAGACGCAGCTGCTCTGGTGGACACACTGTCGCCAGAGATGTCTCAATATGACGATATCACCTTTGAAGCTCATTACTTATTCAATTAATGACTCTTACTTGATAACTAGGTACAGTTATTATCACTAGAAGACCTCCAAGTATTTGATGTAAATTATTAGTTAGATATTTGCAACGTCAGTTAAGGATGATTCTAACGAGGTCATTCCCAGACAGCTGTTTCAGTAACGCTGCTGACACTGATTCAGGTGTTCTTGCCAACTCTTTCTACTGGTAGAAGCTTCTAGAAGCTTGGACCCATGCATCATCCTTCGTGACGTCATTGCCAGTTAGCCGGGGTAGGTCCACCCTAGTCAGTCTCTAGCTGGACACCACACATTACTGATCTACCACTGAGCAGTAGCCTGAGAGACCCCTTCAGTCCTAGCAGATCTAAATAGCATCTCTAACACTGCTCTCAAGCTCACAGTCCGCAGTCCCAGATCAAGTGGCCAGCCTCTCTGTAGATACAAGTATAAATATATATCTGTATCCGTCCACCCATCTCAGAGAAGTGACCTAAGACAGACGATGTCTCTGAACAATATCTGGTAATTCCCTAACTAAATGTGAGTCTTCAGAGGAAGTTACAGTGAAGTTACAGGGGAAGTTACAGTATATTGTAGGTGAATATGTTGCAGCCGGGTATCTTGTGTGTTGTAACTTGTAGGTGGATATGTTGTATGTGTGTTTGTGGTATGTGGCAGTACGGGTGGTAACAGAGGTGTCATCAACAGGGTATTACCTACACGAGAAGAGGGAGTTCGGCGAGTGGCGACGCGTGGAGGTGCCCCCAGACGCTGACTCCTACACCTTGACGGGCCTCCAGTGTGGCACCCGCTACCAGGTGTACGTTAGCGCCTACAACCACGTCGGGGCGTCTCAACCCAGCGACGCCATCCCCACCAAGACTCTAGGGCGCGGTGAGTTACTTGATAGTTCTCTATACTGTTCATTATTGCCTCTTCTGGGAACCTAACCTAACCTAACCTAACCTTGTACCTGTGTTTTCGTCTCATGAATATTGTTGTGTTGACAGAGCCGATAGTGCCAGCCCAATCTTCACTACTGAGAGTCAACGTTACCTCCATCTCACTCAACCTGGCAGCCTGGCTAGATGGAGGCTGCCCCATTACGTCCATGGTGGTCGAGTACAAGGTGAGACTTTCATGAGTACAAGGTGAGTCTTTCATGAGTACTAGGTGAGTCTTTCAAGAGTACAAGGTGAGTCTTTCAAGAGTACAAGGTGAGTCTTTCAAGAGTACAAGATGAGTCTTTCATGAGTACTAGGTGAGTCTTTCATGAGTACAAGGTGAGTCTTTCAAGAGTACAAGGTGAGTCTTTCAAGAGTACAAGGTGAGTCTTTCATGAGTACTAGGTGAGTCTTTCATGAGTACAAGGTGAGTCTTTCAAGAGTACAAGGTGAGTCTTTCATGAGTACAAGGTGAGTCTTTCAAGAATATAAGATGAGTCTTTCATGAGTACAAGGTGAGTCTTTCATGAGTACTAGGCAATATTGTAGCTGTCATTCCTGTCATATTCGTCATGTTTATTGTAACCATTAAACTCACTTCCTCTTAGATAATTTACAAAAGTCATTTCTATTTGACCACAACAAGACCAACTACAGCAGGTGTCGTTATACTTCTACAGGAGCGAGGGTTGACGTCCTGGACTCTGGTGTCGAATCACGTCCGCTGGGATAACACGACGGAATTTGTGGTGCTTGACCTGAAGCCCGCCCATCGCTACACCCTCAGAGTCACCGCCCATAACTCTGCTGGTTCCTCTGTCGCCACCTACCCCTTCACCACCCTCACCCACCTGGGAGGTACGTGTCACTTGTACATCACCACCACCACCGCAGTTTAATTATTTTTTTGTTAATTATAAAGATATTCTCTACCTTGTTCACCTTCTCTCAGCTTTATCAACCCATATAAGCATTAGAACTTTAAGATAGTTGTTTACGTAATGAATAGAGCTAAATATTAAAGGCCTGTATTTATCGGCAGCCACGTTATCACCTGAGTTAATAGTACACGATGCGGTTGGTGTGGCTCCGTGGTACCTAGACTCTCACGTGCTGGTGGCTGTGGTGGTCGCCTGCATCCTCGTGCTGCTCGCCGTCTGTGTCGCTGTTGCCTATACCTGCAGGAGGACCAGAACTCATACACAGACTTATAAAGGTGAGGGTTTGTTATTGTTTGTTGTTTTTTGTGGTGGTTAAGGAGACGAGTTGTACTATATGAATGAAGTGTATATACTGTGAAGAAAATGAATATACCAGTAGTTAGTGACTCTCTTTCTCTCTCTCTCTCTCACTCATTCTCCCGTGTGGTCCTCAGAGGTGAACCACGTACATAACGACCTTACGCCTGACTCTGGGTTAACTTCGGAGACATTACTGGGAGGTCACAGCCTGGAGATCCTGGAAGCCTACACGCCCTCCACCCTCCCTCTGGGCTCCTACGATGAGATCTCCCCCTACGCCACCTTCAGGATGCCTGGGGAGAACAAAACCCCCCCTCCTCCACCCCTCCCCTCGGTCAGTACTCCTCTGATGGTGTCACAATTCACCTGTTATTGTAGGTGGTACTGTACACACCTGCCGCTAATTGAGATGTTTCAGGTGTAGGGGCGTTTACTGTACAGGTGTGTATTTTATTCAGGTGTAATAATCAAGTTTTTAAATTGCACAACATGTTCATCACAATGTTAGGTAGTGTTCAGGTATAACAGATGTATGTTAATTGTGTTTTATATTTCAGGTGTTACTGCAACATAACACTAATATTGTGTTCGTCTCGGTACAATGTTTTATGCAGTATATTTGTTCTGGGACAACCTAACTAATGAGTTATTGTTATCATTATTGTTATATATTTGCTGGAGTAGAGACTTAAGTACAGGGTTCTGCATACTGTGGAGCGTTACCCTCACCTGAAGACTCCACATCCTGTACCGTTAACCTGAGAGTGGGAGTCAACCCCCAGTCTGTGAGATATAACCAGAATTTCCTTTAATTTAGGGTTTTCAATGTGTAACTTTTTTATATGTTATATTTTGGGAAGAGTAAATCACTGGAGGTGCAGAGCAGAACAGTAAAGGAATACTGACTGTCCCATGGGTGCCAGACCAGCGCTCGTTGTTCCTGACTGAAATGTTCTTGAAAATGTTGGTAATCTTGGACTGTTGCCTGTGGCCGGTCTACCCTGACTTACTTATAAAACTAAACCAAAAGTGAACAACAGACGCTGGCGCCTTAAGTGACACCTGCACTATAGTTAACTTGTGCTCCAAGAGAATTTATCTTTATTACAGGACCCTTATTTGATACTGTACAGAGCCCTCTCTCAGTCATGTGTACACGTTATGTTTCTGTGCACACGCTATGCACGTACAACATATACATTTGCATGGGTGTGTCTTGATAATGGGTCAGATCCCATGTACACATGCATGTGTGTCTTTTTGTTGGATCACATGCCATGTATTGTACTAAGGTTTAAGGTCAGGCCACACCCAACCTGACCTGACCTGACCTGCCTTCTCTCAAGGTCAGTCATGTTATATACAGTACAGAATATAACCCGAAATATAATGTGTGTTTAAAGTTGCTGTTATACTCAAGAACTGAAGACAGGTTTGCTTATATTACAGACACACTCACTGTCAGCTCGCTTTGCCTCTGTCTTGAGTCACAACTGTGCAGTGTTACCGTTAGCATCAATAGTGTTCCATAGTTGAACGGTGTTATAGTCGTCAGAGATGTGTTTACCTGTGTGAGTGTAGAGTGTGGGGGTGACACACCTGGCTCAACACCTGGCCGAACACCTGGCCGAACACCTGGCTCAACACCTGGCCGAACACCTGACTCAACACCTGGCCGATTACACTCATTACTGTAACAAAAGTAAATCACTGTACAGAATGAGTATTTAACCTACTGTAGGTGTCAGCCATCCTCGGTGTCAGGCATCCTAGGTGTCAGCCATCCTAGGTGTCAGCCATCCTAGGTGTCAGCCATCCTAGGTGTCTGCCATCCAAGGTGTCAGCCATCCGAGGTGTCAGTCATCCTAGGTGTCAGCCATCCTAGGTGTCTGTCATCCTAGGTGTCAGCCATCCTAGGTGTCAGCCATCCTAGGTGTCAGCCATCCTAGGTGTCAGCCATCCTAGGTGTCAGCCATCCTAGGTGTCTGCCATCCTAGTTGTCAGCCATCGTAGGTGTCAGCCGTCCTAGTTGTCAGCCATCCTAGGTATCAGCCATCCTAGGTGTCAGCCATCCTAGGTGTCTGCCATCCTAGTTGTCAGCCATCCTAGGTGTCAGCCATCCTAGGTGTCTGCCATCCTAGTTGTCAGCCATCCTAGGTGTCTGCCATCCTAGGTGTCAGCCATCCTAGGTGTATCGTATCCCTAGGTGTCAGCCATCCTAGGTCAGTCCTAGGTGCCATCTAGCCAATCCTAGGTGTCAGCCATCCTAGGTGTCAGCCATCCTAGGTGTCAGCCATCCTAGGTGTCTGCCATCCTAGTTGTCAGCCATCCTAGGTGTCAGCCATCCTAGGTGTCAGCCATCCTAGGTGTCAGCCATCCTAGGTGTCAGCCATCCTAGGTGTCAGCCATCCTAGGTGTCAGCCATCCTAGTTGTCAGCCATCCTAGTTGTCAGCCATCCTAGTTGTCAGCCATCCTAGGTGTCAGCCATCCTAGGTGTCAGCCATCTTAGGTGTCTGCCATCCTGGGTGTCAGCCATCCTGATTGTCAGCCATCTAGTTGTCCATGCATCTGGGTGTCAGCCATCTGGGTGTCCAGCCATCCTGGGTGTCTGCCATCCTGGGTGTCAGCCATCCTAGGTGTCCAGCCATCTAGGTGTCAGCCATCTGGGTGTCTGCCATCCTGGGTGTCTGCCATCATAGTGTCAGCCATCCAAGGTGTCAGCCATCCTGGGTGTCAGCCATCCTGGGTGTCAGCCATCCTAGTTGTCCATCCTAGTTGTCAGCCATCCTAGGTGTCAGCCATCCTAGGTGTCAGCCATCCTAGTTGTCAGCCATCCTAGGTGTCAGCCATCCTAGGTGTCAGCCATCCTAGGTGTCAGCCATCCTAGGTGTCAGCCATCCTAGGTGTCAGCCATCCTAGGTGTCAGCCATCCTAGGTGTCAGCCATCCTAGGTGTCAGCCATCCTAGGTGTCAGCCATCCTAGGTGTCAGCCATCCTTCATTATAGTGAATATAAACACCACTATTACCAAACATTGAAGAAGTTGTCAAAATTCTGATTGTTAGTTTCTCTCTCGTGGTGGCAGGTAAGACCCCCATGGTTATAGATATTTCGGGTATATATTTTTGTGGCATTTCAGTGAACATTTTATTTATTTTTTCACCCAATTAAAGCTTTGACTGTGTTAGTGCTGCAGTGTGACGATGTGTTTGGTTATGTTAATGTGTTATAGCATTGAGTGTGTGCGCTTCTTGGTGATACAGTCTCTCTCTCTCTCTCTCTCTCTCTCTCTCTCTCTCTCTCTCTCTCTCTCTCTCTCTCTCTCTCTCTCTCTCTCTCAAAACAACAACTTTTATATACTGTTTACTTTGCAGTTTTACTAAATACAACTTTGATGAAATTTAAAATAAATAAAAAAATATAAAAAAAAAACATTAAGGAAAAATGAAGCTATAATTATCATGTGTTACAGTTAATTATGGGGTAATTTTCATAAGAGCTGTAATGATGATGATGATGATGATGATGATGATGATGTAATTAATGATGAAGTAGACATGAAATGATAAAAAAAGAGATTTACTTGCCTATTTTCAAGCATAGTTTAAATGAATAATAAATTGTTAGCAGAATCCAGAGTAATGAAAAAAAAAGTACATTATTTCAACTTGCTTCACCAACACTAACAGAGATGAGCTAAACATGTTATAAAAGGGTCAACTGGTGCACATACTTGGCATGCTTGTGAGAATAACCACTGTGTTTTATTTTCTTTTAGTGACTGTGGTGATAATAAGATGTGGCTTTAGTTTTGTGTTTGCTTCCTTACCTAGCGTGCTGATCCACCCTCGAGACTGATGCCCTCCCTCCTACAGCCGGTGGCGAGCGTGGTGGACTCGACCTACAGCCGTGTCAAGAGAAAGTGTCCAGCGCCCCCTGACGTAGGTGAGAGTCCGCAGCGTGGCCCACACTGCGCCCTGCATCACCGTGATCCTCCACACTAACACCTCCTCCCCCCCCCCTCCCACACATGCTACTAACAACCTCTCTCTCACTTTCTCTCTTTTTATCTCCCTCTCTCTCTCTCTCTCTCTCTTTACTCCTACACAGGCCAGCCCTCACCGTGGGGCCCCAAGTTACCCCGTGTGGTGTTGGTCGTGTTCTGTCCCCTCTTGGCAGGCCGTCACAACCCACCACCGGCCTCACTACTTTATGCCATACACTATCAAGATGTTTTTATTTTTTTTACCAAAGAATTCTAAAGACTATTTCATATGTACATAAACATTATCTTAAGAAGAGAATTTAAGAGTTACCATAACGATCATTTCCTCCATTATTAAGAGTAGAAGTTAAGTCCCCAAGTGTCTAATTGTAACCTGATGTATCTGAGTCCGGGCGACCTCTAGTGTGGGGCAGCCCCCACCCCCACACACCCACCCCTGCCACCTCCTCCCCCAACACCACCTCCACCTTCCCCAACACCTCCTCCTCCCCCTAACACCACCACTACCACCCCATAATACCACCTCCCCTAACACTACCACCACCGCCAACTCGCCCTAACACCACCACCTCACCCTGACACCAGCACCACACCCTAACACCACCACACACCCCTAACACCACCACCACCACCTAACACCACCACCACCTAACACCACCCACCACACCCTAACACCACCACCACACCTAACACCTACCACCACACCTAACACCACCACCACCACACCCACCACCACACCCTAACACCACCACCACTAACACCACCACCACCACACCCCTAACACCACCACCACCACACCCCTAACACCACCACCACCACACCCCTAACACCACCACCATTTCCCACCACCACACCCTAACACCCACCACCACCACACCCTAACACCACCACCACACCCTAACACCACCACCACACCCCTAACACCACCATAACACTACCACCACCACCACCCCTCCCTCCTCCTTACAACTGGCACCGCCCCAACAGCTTCTACTACAAACGCTTTCCCAGCATGGATATCCCGCTCAAGGGGCAACAGTTCTAGCATTATTTAGAACGGCACGACTTAGCGCGGAGGTCGGCACAGGGGAACATCAGTGCCCCTCCTGCCCCCCCTTCATGCCCCTCCCCCCCACCCCTCCACCCTTGTGCCTGTGCCTCTTTGGAGTGCTTTGGAGCGATATGCCTCTTCTCTCCCTGCCTCATCCTAGCCTCCCCCAGCACGCTGCCCTCCCCCCCCCCCCTCCCCACCCCTCCCTCCTGCACCATGAGAGTCCTGGTGACTCCTGTAAGAACTTTTCCATCCATCCTAACTATTTCCAACCAAGACCATCTACCACCACTACCAACATCGCTGTACGACCATAACCTCCTCTACCACCACTACCAACATCGCTGTACGACCATAGCCTCCTCTACCACCACTACCAACATCGCTGTACGACCATAACCTCCTCTACCACCACTACCACCACATCACTGTACGACCATAACCTCCTCTACCACCACATCACTGTACGACCATAACCTTCTCTACCACCACCACCACCACCTAGACTTTGCACCCGCTTATTAAACAACTGTCTACTGTCATCTACAACTTGCATGCCGATCTTTGAGGGCCTTCGAGAAGACACTCCGGATTTGGCCAGCATACTGAAGTGGGCGCCATTTTGCAGGCCTGTCTACGCCCTCTCGTATCGCTCCAACTGATCACTCCTACGAAAAGTGCAGCATGGTCGTCAAGAGCAAGGGCGTGTCCAGGTGCCCCTCCGTCAACGAGAAAGGTGAGTATTGGTTCACTCACCTGTCCATGTGACCATCATGTAGTGTTCACCAAATAAAAACTACAGCAGTTAGCCAGGTCCAGAATCTCCAAGGTTAACATGGAGATGAAAGTGCAACTCCTTCCTGACTGTCTCGCTCTACACACACACACACACACACTGCTTCTTGGTTCTCCTCCCTGACTTCAAGTACCTCTTACCACTATATTTCGGGTTCAATCTTGGGTCGGATGAGAGTAGACGTCCCCCAGTATGGCCGATAACAGGTTTTCTCTCGTTACTCGTGTTTCCTCCTGTACTAACACTGGACCCATGATTGATGAAGGACAAACTAACCAAGAATTCATTCCTCTTTCTCTCAATGTGTCCAGACTTGGTAAACAAACCTTGGTCTTGTATTTCTTAACATTAGATCACTTCTACTTATCTCTCCTTACTTGTGTGCCTCGTATTATGTCTTCACTCAACTTATGGCTCTTAAGCACAGGTCATTTATCTTACCTTTAAGTTGTATCCAGAGTTTATGTTTCACAACCTTTTGATAATGTCAGGATAATATATTGCCTGCTCTCCTATAATGTTCATGTATAGTCTTATGATTTTTCTCTTTAAATTTGAGAACTCTGGATGCCATCTTCTAGTCTTTTGGTAGCATTTGGACCTTCTGCCATACGTACATAGCCTGGACCCTCACGTACTGTACATAGCCTGGACCCTCACATACTGTACATAGCCTGGACCCTCACGTACTGTACATAGCCTGGACCCTCACATACTGTACATATTTGGACCCTCACATATACTGTATATAGCCTGGACCGTGTACTGTACATAGCCTGGACCCTCACGTACTGTACATAGCCTGGACCCTCACATACTGTACATAGCCTGGACCCTCACGTACTGTACATAGCCTGGACCCTCACATACTGTACATAGCCTACACACTATTGACATACCTACTATTACTCATCCACCTCTATTACTCATCCACCTACTCATCCACCTCTCACCATCAAACACTCAGCTCATAGTCCGTCTCACCTGCTCCTTTGTTGCCTCTCTCACCTGTTACCTTCAGAAGCTTTTTAGTGTATTCTCCCCATCTCTTATTTTGATTCCTTATTTTGTTAGGGAATAATCTCCTTGTTCAGTCCTTTATTGCCGTCTTCATTCGTGTCTTCTTGGTTACTTAGTTACTTGTATAGAGTAAACACACGTATATGTACTTAGCTGCCATCTTATAGTACTACTCCATCTTGTTTATATACTCAGGAGATTATTCAAGAACGTGGAGTGTAAGGTGTCCTGTAGAGAAACGCTACCGTCGGGTGTACAGGCCAAATTTCTCATTATTATAAAAAATCGATTATATTCCAACACGTACTACATATAAGTGTTAGTAAATGTATAAATTATCAACTTAGTTTTTCACTGGCCTTCCTCTGAGGGCTCCCTCCCGCTTCTCAGGAACATTACAGTAAAACGTAATCTAGTCCTTCCGAATATCCATAGCCATACCAACATGTAGGGATAGCCTATGAGGATACTCTGCGCTTCACGTTCTTCAGTACGGCCCTAAGAACTAGAGACTGTGGAGCTCCTACAAGTACTCAGAGGCAGTACGAGTAGTGACAACAGCTAGCTACCACTTCCCTCACCTCGACTGCCAAACTAGTGAGGCGTTAAGGTTGTTTATTCAGGAATCTCTTTTAACTCTCGGCTCCCGGGTTGATGCGATGAGTCTGTAACCCGACTCGTTAAAAACAAAACACTGGGGTCTTACTAGTATTGGGGTCTAGGGCTCCCTGTATGTTCCACAGACTTGGTTTTGGTGCAGTGTTGAGAAGTCAGGTGATGGCCGTGGTAGTGGCACACATTACTGCACTAACTATTGTATGTTTTGATATATCCCGTAACATCCACACACCAGTACCTACCACACATTATTACCAACACACCAGTACCTACACACCTGAAACTCATACACCAGTATCCACACATTGGTACCCACACACAAGACACACATACAGCAGAACACCCACACACCAGACCCCCACACCAATACCCACACACAAGACCCTCACACCAGTACCCACACACAAGACCCCCACGTCAGTACCCACACACCAGACACCTACACATGTACGTACACTAAGGCGGGTTGTGTGTACTCCAGCGACCAGCAAGGAAGCCAGTGGATCGTCAGTCACATCAGTAAGCAGCAACCACGAGGAGCTTGTCCGAGCCTACCATGCCCACGGCCTCGACACACCCACCACCCCGGAGTCTGGCCGCAGGAACAAGTGTGGTACGTATCTTGAACGCCTCCCTCTACCCTCTCAGATGTTAAACTTGTCCTTGATTTCTGTACTTGATTTCTGTCTCTTCATCTTATCTTTCTTATCTTTATTTTCTGTGTTTCTTTGGTGGAAGCCTTTACTCTGGGTTCGTCATCTCACTTCTTTCACTTATTAGCTTCATCATTTATCAGGTTTCTATCTAATTATCCGTTATTTGTTTTATCATTTATCTCTCTCGTACAATTCACATGTAATCTTTATTCTTCAGTTGCCAATTTAATAACCCTTCACTTACCATTGACTCATACTGGATGTTTATAGTTATGGAGTATCCTGGTAATATTAGTGTGACAGATCCACCTGTATTCGTTCTCTACCTGTCATGCACACACACACACACACACTACCTGTGTGTGTGTGTGTGTGTGTGTGAGGGGTAGGTTGTGAGGAGAGTGACCCAACAGGTGAGTGTCACCCCCTAGGTGTGGCCACAAGCAGCGAGATCACCACAGAGTCAGACACCACAGCTGAGCCTGACCTTGTCTCCTTCTGTGCCTCCTTGGGCAACACCCGCGCCCTCCGTGTCCCTGCGCTCTTCAAACCCGGTCAGTCAGTCGGTCACTTTGCTGCATAATTACTGTTATTTAACGATACAACAAATATCCATGCCTTAGTTTAATGGAGGTTCTTAAGAGTGTGATGTTATTATAATTCATGTAATTAAATATTTCTCTCAGACTCTCCTTATTATATATGATCTGAGTTTTAATACAAGATATAATATTGAAATTTCGCTGCCACTAAAGTGTTTCAAATGTAACTAACAGATAAATTTAATATACAGACGGAGACTATCAGACGGTGGCAGACATGGTCGGCGGGGGACGGTCCAGGACGGAGTCAACCACGAGTCATGAGGAGAGTTCGGACGAGGCCAGAGGTACATCAGCCTCCCATCGTCGCTCCCGAGGCCAAGAACCACAACCCAGGCAGAGCCACCGACCATCACGCGGCGATCCTGACTATAGCTACGCCAGGCCCGTCAAGAAACAGGGACCCCCACCCCCACCTCTGTCTTCCACAGAGAGTAACAGGTAAATCGCTCTTTCTTCATAACACACACACACACACACACACACACACACACACACACATTGACTCATCACCATCTGTGAAAGAAGTGTTGCCTTACTCAATCACCTGTACAGTATATCGCGGCTCTGTAAGTACACTACTCTATATTACACGATATCTTATAAAAGACTCTTAACCTTTTTATTACCGCTTATATTTGTAGTTGATCAGAGTAGCACCTCCACCTGTTTATGATCAAAGATAATTGGTCAAGTGATTTGGGTGAATGAAGTTTTAAGGCATCACACTTGAGGTATATTATTGTTGTGATCATTAATTCGATTAATAACTTCAAGGAGTACACTGTATGTTGTGATAACTATTAAGTGATAACACCAAGATGTTTTAGCTACGTGGACAGTAATAACACAAGTATTTAATAACTATCAATGGATACACTGCTATTTTATCCATCTCCATTCATATATATATATATATATATTAAGACACAGATTTCCTTACAATACTCTCTCAGGATTTACTGCAAACACTACTTAAATCTGTATTCTCACTCATGTTTATCATATACAGAGATTACAGCAACTACTTATGAAACTGTTTTTCCCAAATCTGTACTTTTACTCTTCTGAATATGGTGACTGTATCTGTAATGATCTGAGTGTGTGTGTGTGTGTGTGTTACAGTGCTGAATATGGTGACTGTATCTGTAATGATCTGAGTGTGTGTGTGTGTGTGTGTTACAGTGCTGAATATGGTGACTGTATCTGTAATGATCTGAGTGTGTGTATGTGTGTGTGTGTTACAGTGCTGAATATGGTGACTGTATCTGTAATGATCTGAGTGTGTGTATGTGTGTGTGTGTTACAGTGCTGAATATGGTGGCTGTATCTGTAATGATCTGAGTGTGTGTGTGTGTGTGTGTGTTACAGTGCTGAATATGACTGTATCTGTAATGATCTGAGTGTGTATGTATGTGTGTGTTACAGTGCTGGAATATGGTGACTGTATCTGTAATGATCTGAGTGTGTGTATGTGTGTTACATGCTGAATATGGTGACTGTATCTGTAATGATCTGAGTGTGTGTGTGCGTGTGTGTGTGTTACAGTGCTGAATATGGTGACTGTATCTGTAATGATCTGAGTGTGTGTGTGTGTGTGTGTTACAGTGCTGAATATGGTGACTGTATCTGTAATGATCTGAGTGTGTGTATGTGGGTGTTACAGTGCTGAATATGGTGATGGCTGGCCGAGAGTGGAGGGCGACGGTACCTACAGCCGGCGACACACCCTTGAGTTCTCTGAGGCCGAGTGTGACCATCCCTCCAACAAGCAAGGTCAGTCCCTCACACCCTCCAACAAGCAAGGTCAGTCCCTCACACTCATCCAACAAGCAAGGTCAGTCCCTCACACTCCTCCAACAGGTCAGTCTCAACCCTCCAACAAGCCAGGTCAGTCCCTCACACCCTCCAACAAGCAAGGTCAGTCCCTCACCTCCTCCAACAAGCAGGTCAGTCCTCCACCCCTCCAACAAGCAAGGTCAGTCCCTCACCCCTCCAACAAGCAAGGTCAGTCCCTCACACTCCTCCAACAAGCAAGGTCAGTCCCTCACACCCTCCAACAATCAAGGTCAGTCCCTCACACCCCTCCAACAAGCAAGGTCAGTCCCTCACACCCTCCAACAAGCAAGGTCAGTCCCTCACACTCCTCCAACAAGCAAGGTCAGTCCCTCACACTCCTCCAACAAGCAAGGTCAGTCCCTCACACTCCTCCAACAAGCAAGGTCAGTCCCTCACACCCTCCAACAATCAAGGTCAGTCCCTCACACCCCTCCAACAAGCAAGGTCAGTCCCTCACATAAGTACTTCATAACCTTCCTCATTTCACAGCACATGTTCGAGTTTGGTTGCGCCTCACAACTCCTCATAACTCATCATAACTCATACCTCATCATAACTCATAACTCATGATAACTCATCATAACTCATAACTCCCGGGAAGAAAGAATCAAATCACCTTCCTCCAAACAGTATAGGAGAAAATTACCAATGACTTCGCATACTTAAAATCAATTCAGTATTTCAAATGGCTTAAAGAGAGAGAATGTACAGTACAGTGCGCCATTAAGATCCATCATGGCTAGAGGACCTTATTTTTTTATGGCGCGTCAGTCCTTAGATTAAACAACAACTTTTAGTAGTTTTGGAAAAGATATCCATTTGATGTTTTCTATTGAATGTTTTAAATGTAATAATAATTCTTCAGGTATCGAGCCACTGGAGCAGCTTATGGTCGATTTGGAGATGGACAAGATTGTGTTAGACTCGAGCAAGATGCCAAAAGTTTACACCACAGCTCTCTGACAGCGCCAATAGCCCTCAGATGTTTCCTTGGTGAGTGGGGTAACCAAGTGACTATCTGATGAGTGGGGTGATTAAGTGACTATCTGATGAGTGGGGTGACCAAGTGACTATCTCCTGAGTGGGGTGATTAAGTGACTGTCTGGTGAGTGGGGTGGTTTCTCATTCAGTGGTGCTACCCCTCATCTGCCACCCTTCTTCACTGCCCCAACCAGACCCCACGAGTGAGAATTATATCTGTCTGAGGCCAAGGGCTGCTGAAGAACTGCCACGTGGAAGTTTGCTGATATACCATTAATCTCTAGGTAATACCACGTCACTCGCAACGAACCAAGATTTAGTCGTAAGCGGCGTCAGTTCAGGCGAGTCAAAACACTATCCAAGTCAGTCAGTCAGTCAGTCAGTCACTCAGTCAGTAAAGATCGGTGTCCAAAAAGCTGACTGATACAGTTGCTCTGGAACCACTCACCAAGGAACCACTCACCAAGGAACCATTCGTTCAAGGGCCTCAACCATACAACTTTTGTCTCATGACTTCACACACCATACATCATCAGTCTGTTTATCTGGCTACCGACACTTGCCAAGGTGTCACCTGCTGGGAAAAGGTTTGATACACAAAGTTGTCCTGAGAACTGTTCATCAGTGTCAGCCACTAAGGAGCTTTTCATCAGTGTCAGCTACTGAGGAGCTTTTCATCAGTGTCAGCTACTGAGGAACTGTTCATCAGTGTCAGCTACTGGGGAACTGTTCATCAGTGTCAGCTACTGAGGAACTGTTCATCAGTGTCAGCTACTGAGGAACTGTTCATCAGTGTCAGCCACTGAGGAACTGTTCATCAGTGTCAGCTACTGAGGAACTGTTCATCAGTGTCAGCTACTGAGGAACTGTTCATCAGTGTCAGCTACTGAGGAACTGTTCATCAGTGTCAGCTACTGAGGAACTGTTCATCAGTGTCAGCTACTGAGGAACTGTTCATCGGTGTCAGCTACTCGGAACTGTTCATCAGTGTCAGCTACTGAGGAACTGTTCATCAGTGTCAGCTACTGAGGAACTGTTCATCAGTGTCAGCTACTGAGGAACTGTTCATCAGTGTCAGCCACTGAGGAACTGTTCATCAGTGTCAGCTACTGAGGAACTGTTCATCAGTGTCAGCTACTGAGGAACTGTTCATCAGTGTCAGCTACTGAGGAACTGTTCATCAGTGTCAGCTACTGAGGAACTGTTCATCAGTGTCAGCTACTGAGGAACTGTTCATCGGTGTCAGCTACTCGGAACTGTTCATCAGTGTCAGCTACTGAGGAACTGTTCATCAGTGTCAGCTACTGAGGAACTGTTCATCAGTGTCAGCTACTGAGGAACTGTTCATCAGTGTCAGCTACTGAGGAACTGTTCATCGGTGTCAGCTACTGAGGAAATGTTTATCAGTCAGTGTCAACTGCTGAAGTGTTCATCAGTGTCAGCTTCTGAAGTGTTCATCCGTGTCAGATACTAAGATGTTCATTAGTGAACATGTCTTTAATGGAAATATAAGTCGAGGTGACTGTTACTGAACACTGTGCACGAGAGGACCAAGACATGAAGCGTGTTGGAGCCATCGGCGCTGGTGAAGGAGCCGACCACTAGACCTCGTATCTCTGTCTTCACCAAAGGTCTTGTAAAACTCTTAAAACCCATATCAGAAAATTGTCAACAAAAGTCTTCTAATAGGAATTTGTTTATTTAAAAGCTCAGAGTTAGGGAGAAGTTGTTCGGAGGACCCAGTGTGTGCTAAGTCACAGGACCATAAGCCACCATCTTCTGGAGACTGTCACTCGGAACCACGTGGTGAATCTGAGGAACACTTATGGCTAGTTGGGTGTTCCAGTACTTCATGAATTATATAACTTGTTATTATCATCCTCTATTAATAAAGTGATTAAAGAGAGATGTACTGATAAAATATCCTTAAACCCCAGTACAGTAAATGAACCTTTGTGACGGCAGAGGGTCCTGTGTAGCTGGGCGTGAGGTGTGGGGAGCAACACCCAGCTCTTAAACCTTATTGGGGAATCTGATGTATATGTTGATGCTGTGAACTATATGTCATCCCGCTTGTGTTTACATCCATGTTAATCATCAACTTAAGTGTGTTTGTGTGTGTTGAGTTGTGACCATTCATTTCCCTGATACATTATCCGAGGGGCAGATTGTAAACAGTTTGACACTAATATTTTTTAATGAATATACTCATGCACCAACTCGCTTGATCTGATTTATTCCTCTGTTGTATTAAGACACATTTATCCATAATTATTAAAATGCTTTACCAATCGAATATATTATATTTTGTGATACAGAATTTAGTCGCCATATATATGTACAGTACTGTAATGAATTCGCTCGTGCTCAGACACCATACAGCACAGTACAGTACAGTACAGTATGTAACAAATAAATAAGTCATCGGGTGCATTAGTGACAGTGATCTAACATCCTTCCCAAGAGGCTGGGGTAACCCTTCAGCTACTCGGTGTGAAGCTGACCACCACCCTGCTACACTACAGCATGCTTAAACAAACAGATATATACTGTACAGTACACCGTATTATTCTGTGAGGCAGCTAAAGTAATTCACTGGGGCTCGTGTACAGAAGGAAGGATTCTGTGCATGTGTTCTTTATTTTCAACCGCCCTGCATTATAGTCAGTAACAACATGAACAATAGTAAAGGAAAGTAAATATTTACATAATGACACCACAACCCATGTTTACATAATGACGCCACAACCCATGTTTACATAATGACGCCACAACCCATGTTTACATAATGACACCACATAATGACGCCATGTTTACATAATGACACCACAACCCATGTTTACATAATGACACCACAACCCATGTTTACATAATGACGCCACAACCCATGTTTACATAATGACGCCACAACCCATGTTTACATAATGACGCCACAACCCATGTTTACATACTGACGCCACAACCCATGTTTACATAATGACGCCACAACCCATGCTTACATAATGACGCCACAACCATGTTTACATAATGACGCCACAACCCATAATGACGCCACAACCCATGTTTACATAATGACGCTACAACCTATGTTTATAATGACACCACAACCCATGCTTACATAATGACGCTACAAACCTATAAGCCATATACTGACGCCACAACCCATGTTTACATACTGACGCCAATGTTTACATAATGACGCCACAACCCATGTTTACATAATGACGCCACAACCCATGTTTACATACTGACGCCACAACCCATGTTTACATAATGACGCCACAACCCATGTTTACATTATGACGCCACAACCCATGTTTACATAATGACGCCACAACCCATGTTTACATAATGACGCCACAACCCATGTTTACATATCTGCAGGAGGCAGGACCAAAGACTGGCCTGCAGTTTAAGACATCAGTTGGATTGCCTAACGAGATAAGTCTCCTCTCAATAGGAATACTTCTGGCTGGTAATTTTAAATAACCCTCAAGCAATACAAAAATGTTAAAATGAAATATTACAGAATCTCAAACTCAGAAGTGTACTACACCTTTATAGGTTAAATTATCTTTATTTTCATCAATATAAACTAATCTGTTAATTTGATGTTAGTGATAAGTTTGACTACCGCCAATTTCCTGCAATTTGTGTGGGTACAGACCAAACATGTGAGGTAGCTTCTGCATCAAGGACAACTTGTCCTTCAGGGCTTCGCCGCGCCACCCCACGCCGCGCCATGGCGGCTCCGTGAAGTTGATGGCCAGGAAATCAACTGAAGAAGAAAAGGCTCTGGTCAGAGGCTTTGGCAGGACGTTATTGAGTCGTTTGACCTCCACCACTTGTTAAGTGAGAGGAAATCTTTATGGGGAAAATTATTTTATGGTGCGGTATTTAGTCATTATATACATTACCTAAAGGCAGAAATTTATAACTTATTACTTCAGTGCAAGGTAGTAGGCAGCTACCAAACAGGGAGGTACTACCGCCTGCGAAGATATTGGAAGCATAATGTGTTGTCTAATGGTAGACCCTGCTGCCATATGTGACCAAGTCCCAGGTTGATGATCTGACTTTCTGCCTCATTTACACACAATTGCAGGGTCTCAATTGTTTATCTTACTATTGGTGTTTTTTTTTTAAATTTCTGTATTTAATTTATTAATGGTTTACTTCATTTAATTTTCGCCCCCCGTAAAAAAATATGGAGAAAGAAATTGCTGATTATATACATCTTTCACACGCACACACCAACAAAAATATGGCAATAAAACAAGAATATGGCAATAACTATACTACGATTACTGCTACTACAAATGGCCTCCAGCCTCCCCCAATAGCCACACCTTCGCCACCATTTTATTACCTTAAAATTAAATATCCTAATACATAAGTAGCTATCCTAGCTGTGTTGAATTAGTTGAGCCGCAGATCTATGCGGCATTCAGTGACTGTTGCCTCATAGGCAATATCTGCAACTGTTGTCGGCTTTGGGCCGATGCTCTCGTTCCCCTGAGGCAGAGCAAAGCAGACCTAAGGAGAGAGGACAGTCGACATCTCATCCAGGCTGTAACATAACTTCTGGGCTGCTGCTTCTGTTCGGATAACACCTCCGCGATTCTGGCATAGAAGCATTTTGCACTTGGGCCCATCCCACCAGTGGTTGTGAACACCAGAGGAGTGAAGCTGCCTTGATCAACGTTCTGAATTCTCTCCCCATAGCATCGAGAGCTAGGTTGCGGTGACATGCAGTCATGGGATCAAATATCCTGATGTCGTAGAAGGCTCGCTGTCCCCGCGTCCAGAATCCTCGAGCACTGACGTCAACAAGGGCTTCGTTGGATGTGTTTAAAATCCTATGTTGAAAATTTTCACCGTCCAGTGAAAGGAGGGTCGCTTCTACCCTGACATCACGACAGATTTCCATCAACATATTTGCTGTGAGATCCCTTACTTCGTCGTGTCTCATGCATCTGAAGCCCCCTTTCTTGCACACCATGGCGTGGTCAACGTCATAGGAAGAGACACAAACACATTGGGAGGGCAAACCTTCTACTAGCCAAAGGGGCAGTGGTGAACCCAGGGGCCCTCCCAGGGGCGGAGACACCCCATGGGGCCCTGCCAGGGACAATAGCACCCCCAAGGGCCGTCACAAAGCGACAGCGCATCCAGGGGCTTGATCGTGATGTCGCTCATATTGCATTCGTGAAGCAATCCCTTACTTAACTGTGATTGGTGGATTAGAAAAAATGCGCCAAATTCTAGCCAATAGGAGAACAGACCAGCCAGTCAGCACAACACCCCAACTTATGTTTTCCTGTTGGATATGTATTCACCTTTTCATTGCTCAGGATGCGATCACACTGGAAATGCGATGGGTGGTGTATTTATTTAACTTCATATCTCTCAGAGTTCTAAATAGTGAAAACTAACTGCCACCAGGGGACCTCCCAGAGACAAAGGCGCACCTAGAGGTTCTCCTTAAGATGAGCAGTGCCACCAGGGGCTCTACCAGGGACGGTGGCGCCGCCAGGGGACCTTCCAGTGGCGGTGTCTCCAGGGGTCATTCTAGGGAATGTGGGGGAACTCCTAGAGGCCATGGCACAGCCAGGCGTTCTTCCAGGAGAGGTGGCGCCCACAGGGACCCTTCCAGGAAAATCTACTCCTCCATGGTCCCTTCCAAGGGCACCTCCTCCCTCAGGGACCCTTCCAGTGGCGGCAAAGCCTCCAGGGGCCCTCCCTGGGGTCTCAGTGACCGTAGGAGGTCTCCCAGGGGCGTTGGTGCCTCCAGAGGCCTTTCCAGGGGCGGTGGCGCTCCTAGGGACACCCCCTGGGGCACTGGCACCGAAAGGGGACCTGACAGTGGCGATGGCGCCCCCAAAGGCTGTCCCAGGGCGACAGCGTTCCCAGGGGATCGATCGTGATGTCGTACAAATTGCATACGTCCAGCAATCCATTACTTAACTGTGATTGGTGAATTAAAGGAAAAATGAACCAAATTACAGCCAATAGGAGAACAGACCAGCCAGTCAGCACAACACCCCAACTTATGTTTTCCTGTTGGATATTTATTCACCATATCATTGTTCAGGATGCATCAGACTGGAAATGTTATGGGTGGTTTATTTATTTAACGTCATATCTCTCAGAGTTCAATTTAGTGAAAAACTAACTGCCGCCAGTGGACCTCCCAGAGGCAACGGCGCTCGTAGCGATCCTCCAAAAGGTCAGCATTGCCACCTAAGGCTCTCCCAGGGGCGGTGGCGCAGACAGGGGACATTCCAGTGGCGGTGCCCCCAGGTGTCATCCTAGGGACAGCGGGGATCTCCAAGAGGCGTGGCATATCCAGGTGTTCTCCCAGCAGCGGTGGTGCCCCACGGGCCCTCCCAGGGGGATCTGCGCCCCCAGGGGCCCTCCCAAGGGCAGATGCTCCGTCATGGACTCTTCCAGTGGCGGAAAAGCCCTCAGGGGCCCTCACAGGGACCTCAGCGACCCAAGGAGCTCTCCCAAGGGTGTTGGTGCCTCCTGGGCATTTTCAGGGGCGGTGGCGCCCCAAGGGACCCTCCCTGGGGCGGTGGCACCCCATGGGGCCCTGCCAGGGACAATAGCACCCCCAGGGGCCGTCACAAAGCGACAGCGCTCCCAGGGGCTCGATCGTAATGTCGTACAAATTGCATACGTCCAGCAATCCCTTACTTAACTGTGATTGGCGAATTAAAAGAAAAATAAACCAAATTACAGCCAATAGGAAAGCAGACCAGCCAGTCAGCACAACACCCCAACTTATGTTTTCCTGTTGGATATGTATTCACCTTTTCATTGCTCAGGATGCGATCACACTGGAAATGCGATGGGTGGTGTATTTATTTAACTTCATATCTCTCAGAGTTCTAAATAGTGAAAACTAACTGCCGCCAGGGGACCTTCCAGAGGCAAAGACGCACCTAGGGGTTTTCCTTAAGATGAGCAGTGCCACCAGGGGCTCTACCATGGACGGTGGCGCCGCCAGGGGATCTTCCAGTAGCGATGTCTCCAAGGGTCATTCTAGGGAATGTGGGGGAACTCCTAGAGGCCATGGCACAGTTAGGCGTTCTCCCAGGAAAGGTGGCGCCCCAAGGGGCCCTCCCAGGTGCCATCCCTGTTAAAGATGCTCGCCCAGGGGCCCTCCCAAGAGCAGCTCCTCCCTCAGGGACCGTGCCAGTGGCGACAAAGCCTCCACGGGCCCTCCCTGGGGCCTCAGCGGCCCTAGGAGCTCTCCCAGGGGCGTTGGTGCCTCCAGAGGCTGTTCCAGGGGCGTTGGCGCCCCTAGGGAGCCCCCTTTTGTGGTGGTGGCACCCAAAGGGGCCCAGGCAGGTGGCGATGGCGCCCCCAGAGGCTGTCCCAGGGTGACAGCGTTCCCAGGGGCTCGATCGTGATGTCGTACAAATTGCATACGTCCAGCAATCCCATTACTTAACTGTGATTGGCGAATTAAAGGAAAAATTAACCAAATTACAGCCAATAGGAGAACAGACCAGCCAGTCAGCACAACACCCCAACTTATGTTTTCCTGTTGGATATTTATTCACCATATCATTCTTCAGGATGCATCAGACTGGAAATGTTATGGGTGGTGTATTTATTTAACGTCATATCTCTCAGAGTTCAAATTAGTGAAAACTAACTGCCGCCAGTGGACCTCCCAGAGGCAACAGCGCTCGTAGCGATCCTCCATAAGGTCAGCATTGCCACCTAAGGCTCTGCCAGGGGCGGTGGCGCAGACAGGGGACATTCCAGTGGCGGAAAAGCCCCAGGACCCTCCTGGGGCCTTAGCACTCTTATTGGCTCTCCCAAGGGTGTTGTGCCTGGGCATTTTGAGGGCGGTGGCGCCCAAGGACCCTCCCTGGGGCGGCACCCATGGGGCCCTGCAGGGAATATGGCACCCCAGGCCGTCACAAAACGACAGCGCCCCAGGGGCTTGATCGTGATGTCCTCATATTGCATCCGTCCAGCAATCCCTTACTTAACTGTGATTGGTGGATTAGAAAAATTAACCAAATTCTAGCCAATAGGAGAACAGACCAGCCAGTCAGCACAACACCCCAACTTATGTTTTCCTGTTGGATATGTATTCACCTTTTCATTGCTCAGGATGCGATTACACTGGAAATGCGATGGGTGGTGTATTTATTTAACTTCATATCTCTCAGAGTTCTAAATAGTGAAAACTAACTGCCGCCAGGGGACCTTCCAGAGGCAAAGGCGCACCTAGGGGTCCTCCTTAAGGTCAGCAGTGCCACCAGAGGCTCTACCAGGGACGGTGTCGCCGCCAAGGGACCTTCCAGTGGCGGTGTTTCCAGGGGTCATTCTAGGGAATGTGGGGGAACTCCTAGAGGCCATGGCACAGCCAGGCGTTCTCCCAGGAGAGGTGGCGAGCCAAGGGGCCCTCCCAGGTGCCATTCCAGGGGAAGATGCTCCCCCAGGGGCCCCTCCCAATAGCAGGTCCTCCCTCAGGGACCGTGCCAGTGGCGGCAAAGCCTCCAGGGGCCCTCCCTGGGGCCTCAGCGACCCTAGGAGCACTCTCAGGAGCATTGGTGCCTCCAGAGGATTTTCCAGGGGCGGTGGCGCCCACAGGGACCCTTCCAGGAAAATCTGCTCCTCCAGGGGCCCTTCCAAGGGCACCTCCTCCATCAGGGAGCCTTCCAGTGGCGGCAAAGCCTCCAGGGGCCCTCCTGGGGTCTCAGCGACCGTAGGAGCTCTCCCAGGGGCGTTGGTGCCTCCAGAGGCCTTTCCAGGGGCGTTGCCGCCCCTAGGGAGCCCCCCCTGGGGTGGTGGCACCCAAAGGGGACCAGGCAGTGGCGATGGCGCCCCCAAAGGCTGTCCCAGGGCGACAGCGTTCCCAGGGGATCGATCGTGATGTCGTACAAATTGCATACGTCCAGCAATCCCTTACTTAACTGTGATTGGTGAATTAAAGGAAAAATGAACCAAATTACAGCCAATAGGAGAGCAGACCAGCCAGTCAGCACAACACCCCAACTTATGTTTTCCTGTTGGATATTTATTCACCATTTCATTGTTCAGGATGCATCAGACTGGAAATGTTATGGGTGGTGTATTTATTTAACGTCATATCTCTCAGAGTTCAATTTAGTGAAAAACTAACTGCCGCCAGTGGACCTCCCAGAGGCAACAGCGCTCGTAGCGATCCTCCATAAGGTCAGCATTGCCACCTAAGGCTCTCCCTGGCGCGGTGGCGCAGACAGGGGACATTCCAGTGGCGGTGCCCCCAGGTGTCATCTTAGGGACAGTGGGGATCTCCAAGAGGCGTGGCATATCCAGGTGTTCTCCCAGCAGCGGTGGTGCCCCACGGGCCCTCCCAGGGGGATCTGCGCCCCCAGGGGCCCTCCCAAGGGCAGATGCTCCGTCATGGACTCTTCCAGTGGCGGAAAAGCCCTCAGGGGCCCTCCCAGGGACCTCAGCGCCCCAAGGAGCTCTCCCAAGGGTGTTGGTGCATCCTGGGCATTTTCAGGGGCGGAGGCGCCCCAAGGGACCCTCCCTGGGGCGGTGGCACCCCATGGGGCCCTACCAGGGACAATAGCACCCCCAGGGGCCGTCACAAAGCGACAGCGCTCCCAGGGGCTCGATCGTAATGTCCTACAAATTGCATACGTCCAGCAATCCCTTACTTAACTGTGATTGGCGAATTAAAAGAAAAATAAACTAAATTACAGCCAATAGGAAAGCAGACCAGCCAGTCAGCACAACACCCCAACTTATGTTTTCCTGTTGGATATGTATTCACCTTTTCATTGCTCAGGATGCGATCACACTGGAAATGCGATGGGTGGTGTATTTATTTAACTTCATATCTCTCAGAGTTCTAAATAGTGAAAACTAACTGCCGCCAGGGGACCTTCCAGAGGCAAAGACGCACCTAGGGGTTCTCCTTAAGATGAGCAGTGCCACCAGGGGCTCTACCATGGACGGTGGCGCCGCCAGGGGATCTTCCAGTAGCGGTGTCTCCAAGGGTCATTCTAGGGAATGTGGGGGAACTCCTAGAGGCCATGGCACAGTTAGGCGTTCTCCCAGGAAAGGTGGCGCCCCAAGGGGCCCTCCCAGGTGCCATCCCTGTTAAATATGCTCGCCCAGGGGCCCTCCCAAGAGCAGCTCCTCCCTCAGGGACCGAGCCAGTGGCGACAAAGCCTCCACGGGCCCTCCCTGGGGCCTCAACGACCCTAGGAGCTCTCCCAGGGGCGTTGGTGCCTCCAGAGGCTGTTCCAGGGGCGTTGGCGCCCTTAGGGAGCCCCCTTTTGTGATGGTGGCACCCAAAGGGGCCCAGGCAGTGGCGATGGCGCCCCCAGAGGCTGTCCCAGGGTGACAGCGTTCCCAGGGGCTCGATCGTGATGTTGTACAAATTGCATACGTCCAGCAATCCCATACTTAACTGTGATTGGCGAATTAAAGGAAAAATGAACCAAATTACAGCCAATAGGAGAACAGACCAGCCAGTCAGCACAACACCCCAACTTATGTTTTCCTGTTGGATATTTATTTACCATATCATTCTTCAGGATGCATCAGACTGGAAATGTTATGGGTGGTGTATTTATTTAACGTCATATCTCTCAGAGTTCAAATTAGTGAAAACTAACTGCCGCCAGTGGACCTCCCAGAGGCAACAGCTCTGTGTGATCCTCCATAAGGTCAGCATTGCCACTAAGGCTCTCCAGGGGCGAGTGGCGCAGCGAGGGACATTCCAGTGGGGTACTCCCACGTGTCATCCTAAAGGAACTGGCGAAGTCTCAGCGTGGCACATCCAAGTATTCTCCCAGCAGCATTGGTGCCCACCCAGGCCTCCCAGGGAGGACCTGCGCCCCCAGGGGCCTCCCAAGGGCAGATGCTCCGTCATGGACTCTTCCAATGGCGGAAAAAGCCCCCCAGGGGCCCTCCTTGGGGCCTTAGCACTCTTAGGCGCTCTCCCAAGGGTGTTAGTGCCTCCTGGGCATTTTCAGGGGCGATGGCGCCCCAAGGGACCCTCCCTGGGGCGGTGGCACCCCATGGGGCCCTGCCAGGGACAATGGGACCCCCAGGGGCCGTCACAAAGCGACAGCGCTCCCAGGGGCTTGATCGTGATGTCGCTCATATTGCATTCGTCCAGCAATCCCTTACTTAACTGTGATTGGTGGATTAGAAAAAAATGCACCAAATTCTAGCCAATAGGAGAACAGACCTGCCAGTCAGCACAACACCCCAACTTATGTTTCCCTATTGGATATGTATTCACCTTTTCATTGTTCAGGATGCGATCACACTGGAAATGCGATGGGTGGTGTATTTATTTAACTTCATATCGCTCAGAGTTCTAAATAGTGAAAACTAACTGCCGCCAGGGGACCTCCCAGAGACAAAGGCGCACCTAGGGGTTCTCCTTAAGATGAGCAGTGCCACCAGAGGCTCTACCAGGGACGGTGGCGCCGCCAGGGGACCTTCCAGTGGCGGTATCTCCAGGGGTCATTCTAGGGAATGTGGGGGAACTCCTAGAGGCCATGGCACAGCCAGGCGTTCTTCCAGGAGAGGTGGCGCCTCAAGGGACCCTCCCAGGTGCCATCCCAGGGGAAGATGCTCGCCCAGGGGCCCTCCCAACAGCAGCCCCTCCCTCAGGGACCGTGCCAGTGGCGGCAAAGCCTCCAGAGGCCCTCCCTGGGTCCTCAGCGACCCTAGGAGCTCTCTCAGGAGTGTTGGTGCCTCCAGAGGCCTTTCTAGGGGCGGTGGCGCCCACAGGGACCCTTCCAGGAAAATCTGCTCGTCCAGGGGCCCTTCCAAGGGCACCTCCTCCCTCAGGGACCCTTCCAGTGGCGGCAAAGCCTCCAGGGGCCCCCCCTGGTGTCTCAGTGACCGTAGGAGCTATCCCAGGGGCGTTGGTGCCTCCAGAGGCCTTTCCAGGGGCGGTGGCGCCCCTAGGGACACCCCCTGGGGCACTGGCACCGAAAGGGGACCAGACAGTGGCGATGGCGCCCCCAAAGGCTGTCCCAGGGCGACAGCGTTCCCAGGGGATCGATCGTGATGTCGTACAAATTGCATACGTCCAGCAATCCCTTACTTAACTGTGATTGGTGAATTAAAGGAAAAATGAACCAAATTACAGCCAATAGGAGAGCAGACC